ATGCTATGTTCAGGAGCCCATGACACATGAGTCCCTTTCTTTCTGGAAGGTTTTTGATCTTCCTGTCCATAGTGGTTAATGATACCTATGCTTGCTCCTTACCTCATGCTGATGTCTTTGTCGAAGCCTCAGTGGATCCCAGATCAGGTCAGATTCTCTGCAGCATGCATCCCAGCACCCATTACTTCCCTTACAGTCCTTATCAGCATGGAAGTTAAGCAACTAAATTTGTAGTTAGTTTTGCACATTGCTGCATCTTCCCCAGAACGTTGGCTTCATACGTGAGGATTTCATAGAAAAGTCTGTTTCGCTCACAACACTGGATACACATAAGGTGTGTGATATTCAGAGAGAAAGTGCAGAAGTCTGGTAGAAATGTTGGGCTCAGTTTTCTACGAAGGGACATAAGGATTAAGAAGGTATCATTAGGAACATTTCTGCTTTCTGTAGTATTCTTTTTTTTTTTAAGATTTATTTATACAAGCACTGGGTACAGTCAGAAGCGCAGGAGGGTGAGAGAATTCACCAGAGCCAGAGCGGGGAGCAGAGCAGGCAGAAGGACCGAAGCACACTGCTGAGGGGAGCAGTGGGCGGCAGGAGAGGTCTGCGCACCATGTGGGACCCTCCTCCGTTGGCCGGGGAGCAGCCGGGGATCGAACCGGCGCTGCAGAGTCTGCAGGCAGCTTTGCAACCCAGCGCTCAACCGCCGCGCCACGCAGCCGGGGATCGAACCGGCGCTGCAGAGTCTGCAGGCAGCTTTGCAACCCAGCGCTCAACCGCCGCGCCACCGGGGAGGCCCCTTTCTATAGTATTCTTAGCTTATGCATCTCAACAGTTAATGCTGTGAAAATGACAGTGTATGGAAATCAAAATAGACCAAAAAAGGTCCAGGGAAACACAAGTTATGTACACAACACTGGGTGGAATGTATACCTTTGAGCCAAACAACCATTAGTTGAGCAGAATGGATGGTGAAATTCTTTGGGGTCAGGTGCAAGAAAGAAAATGAGCATGATGTTAATTTTCTAACTTGTTCCAAAGAAAATTTATAGATGTGTTGGATCATTTAAATATAGTTTTTGTGTTGGAAAATATCAGATGTGTGGCAATGACATTGAAAAGGATCCCCTGCCCCAGGTCGTCATCACTTCTATATCCCTTCATCATATTTACACAACTTTTTCCTTTGTGCTTTTTTAGATCGTTGGATTCTGCTGAGTTGGGGATGGTATTTGGATGTGTTTTTGTTGGTTTTTTTTAGCACTGAAATTGTTAGTTTAGAAAGCGGCATACAGAGTATAACATTCTTTTTTGTAATTCTCCTCCTTGAGGTTGCCTATAGCATTTTAAATTTCAGAAGTTCAAGAGCTGTATTCATTTCACTTTGGGGGGAAAAAAGTAAAACAAGATTTCACCTAATGGCATGTCTTTAAGGAAGCTAAAAGCATTTGTTTAACTTTTTCTGTTTTACTCAAAGGGCATTCTGGTGATCACCTACATGTGATCTTGTGAAGTGTTTTAGTCCCCGGAGGTGTTAGCCATCTCTCATGGAGGGAGCAAAGGGATCCAGCCTAAAGCTACAGAAAAAAATTGCTGGCTAAAAGAACAGGAGCTGATCGTTGATAAGGAGCGTGTCTATCTCCATTCCTAGAGAAGATGAAGATAAACGAGCACTACCTGCTTTGGGATGGTTTAAATGGCCTTTAGCCTGGAGGAGTGTATAGATGATCCAAATGGAGCTCTCTGTCCTGTGTAGCCAGTGAGTCTATGAAAATTCTGCCTGTGATTTTGACTGGCCAGTATCGCTATGCAAGTCCTGTCCATTTAATTGGAGGTTGTGGCCGGAGGAATAAATGACAGTCTGACTTGGCCTCAAATAGGAAGAGAGTGTGTATGGGGAGTAGACCTGCTTGTAATGTTGTACCTCTTACAAATATGTCAATTGCTTTCTCTCTTTCCTGATAGTCCTCCATTTTAGGTTGGAGCTCACACCAGGTACCTGAAGTTATGTAACCACTATATTGTGTTAAGAAAATAGAAAAGCTTTTCAATACTAAGAATATTTTAGTTATATGGGAGTGCTTTTACTTTTAATAGTAACAGCCATTGTTACATTTTCTCCCTCAGAAAAGAATGTGTCTGCCAAGGAATCCTTAAAGAGCATAGATTGAGTGAAAAGGACACAGAACAAAGGAAAGATTCCCAGGGGGGAGATGAAGAAGTTCTGTAAATAGCTGTGCTATTTTCCTTTGAAATGTCTGGCACACTCTATACAGTATAGTGGCTGTGTATCGAGGGGCCATGTCTCTGTGGCAGTGCGTTCCCCAGAATCTCAGAGCAGTGCATGTATGGCAAGGGCATCAGGGTCTTTCCAAAGCATTACAGTATTTAAACGACTAACTTTTCTTATTTGGCATGCTTGCAAACCTAATCCTGCCACATCACCTGCATTCCAATAGTCATTGCTTCACCTTTAACACCTGACCCTTTGAAAAAAAAAAAAAAAGTAAAGGTTAGTTCCATGCCACTCTCAGAAATTTGTACTGTACTAAGCAAAACTTATATTTTCTAGCATGAAACTTGAAATGTGAAGCTTTGCTTCTGTGATTCCAGTCCTTACCTGGAACTCTAGGCCTTTCTGCATTCTGTGGGCAAATTCCTACATGTCTGTCTTGGCCCAACTTAAATGAAATGCTTACCCCGAAATGTTCTCTGCATTCTTGATTGTACCCTTAGTAGTGGTCCCACGTATGGTTTATTATTTTCTTTAATGATAATTTCTCTTTTATTGCTTTAAAGCTATTTCTTCACTCAGTTCTTTTACTGCCTGTCTCCCTCCTCTTTGATTATGAGCTTGTCTTTTGTAGAGTGCAGGGGCATGCTGATTGCTTGGTTCATGTGACCCTTATTTAATGATTACCTGGTGCTTACACACTAATCAACATTTTTTGGGCACCTCCTGTAGGGAGAGTACACCCCTCTATACACTCTGGAGGTCACCAAAGTCCAAGATAAGGTCTGCTTACCCAATTTTCGCAGGTTTGGAAATTTAGTGGTCTGGGCAAAATGATTTAGGAGTTAAAAAATCTTAGGCATTTTAAGGAAATATAAAAAAGAGAGAATACAGTGTGATTTTTAGTGGCTTATATATTAAATCTATCTCTGTTTTTAGGTATACTTGGCATATTTGACATATTAAAAAATTGAGATGTTTTCATTTTATCAGTATGTGAGGGAACATGGGTCTAAAGATGGAGTGAGTTGAGAGGAAACTTTTTGTAAGAATTTTAGTAAAACATTGATTTTCCACTTATAAGAAGACCTAGAACACAATTATTAAATGTTATTGATTCAAGAATTAAATCACCAGAACATTGTTGAGAGAAATTGAAGTTCTAAATAAATGGAGAGATATATCATGTTCGTGGCTTAGAAGACTCAATATTGTTAAGATGTCAATTCTCTTCAAATTGACATAGATTCAGTGCAGTCATAAATTGTTACATAAATTCAGCGCAGTCACAATATTTGCTGATATTGACAAACTGAATCTGAAACCCATATGGAAATGAAAAGGAGTTAGAGTCGATCAAAACAACATTGACTTTTCATTTGAATTATATTTGAAAATCTTTCCCGAGTGTATAATTTTCTTTCTTGATAGAAGAATTTCTAGATTGATAATCATTATTTTAACCATTGGTTAAATGATCATGATCTGTAGCAAATAAAAGATAAAGCACTGGTATTAAAATTATAATTCTGTAAGTTGTGCAGGTTATGCTCTGCCCAAGGACACACCCAGCTGAGAGAGTGAGTAGAGTTGAAATCAGCCTGTGCTTGTACAGCCAAGCCATGTTTCCAGCGTGGTTGTGTCTGCCCAAGAAAGGGGCATTTTTTTCTTGTTTGCACAAAGGTGCCATGTGGACTCTGGCCTGTTCAACACATAGCCTAGAACAAGGTGGTAGCGGTTTTCCCCAGAAATGCTGCTTTATATGAGAAGCTTTCTTGTGAATGTTTTTCCTCTTACATCCAGCAAAGAGCTTTTAGTTGAGGGTTTTCTTTAGCTAGACCTCCACTAGGTGTACTTGTGTGTGCTGTGTGTGGCATTTTTCTTCTCCAGTTTGGCCCAGTTGCCCTTTAAGGCAGGTGAATTTAGGGTACATTTTTCTTTTGTCACCCTGGAGGATCCTAGTGTCTCTTGTGTGTGTGGATCCCATTGTTAATGCCCCCCAGACAATATTTCTATGCGTCTGTAGCAATGAATTTGGAGAAAGGCAACTCCTACAGCTCCTCTGAGTGGTCTTTTTGGTGTTATTGACTAATAGTTTCTTTTTCTTTTTCTTTTTCTTTTTTTTTTTTTAGTTTTTAAAGATTTATTTATTTATACATACAAGAGCCGGGGTACAGGCCAGAGATGCAGGGGAGTGAGAGGCTTCACCAGAGACAGAGTGGGGAACAGAACAGGCAGGTTGAGAAATACACTGCTGAGGGGAGCAGCGGGCGAGACAGGAAAGGTCTGCTGCGCCATGTGGGTTTCTCTCTGGCCGGCCAGGGATGGAACTCGTGCTGCAGAGACTGTGGATTGCTTCATAGTGTGGTGCTTAACCCCTTGCGCCACCAGGGAGGCCCCCTGACTAACAGTTTCTTAAGGAGGAACCAAACCTCCTCACTTCAGGAGATACAGAGCATTGTTTATAAGATTCAATTTTGAGAGGAATTGAAACTAGTCACAACTTAGTTTTAAATAAGTGATGTTCAGATAGTGACACCCTTTTATTCTGTTAAGCCTGTGCCACTGACTCGGTTTATGATGGAGTGCAGAGCCTGCAGGCACTGAGCAGCTGTCAATAATGGACTGGGTAGCAGTATATCGATAGAAGTTCTGCTTGAATGCCACATTCCCCCTCTCATTTTTTCCATGTAACTCCCATTCCCTTCTTCCCTCCACGTTGTTCTTTTCCCCAAAGAAACTTAACCACTTCTCTTTCTCATTACAGATGCGAACCACACGCAAGGTGTCTGTCTGGCCTGTGGGCCTGGTTGGTGGGCGGCGCTACGAACGGCCATTGGTAGAAAACGGCAAAGTCGTTGGTTGGTACACGGGCTGGAGACCAGACAGGCCTTTTGCCATCGACATGGCGGGTGAGTGTGAATGGTGACATTTGCTCTTCTCTGATGGTTCTTGGTGATGATGGTTTATTAAAGGAAGGAAGCTTTCAAAGACCACATTGGTTAAATGGTATGATGATATATTCAGCAGATTAACTGATTAAGCCTTCAAAATGGGCTCTTTGGTTGTTTCAAATACAAATTGAATTGGGGGGGGGGTGGTTAGAAAATGCTCATCCTGTTCCATTTTGTCACCTGTCCGTGTCATCCTTTTATCCAACAAACGTTTATGTGCCAGGTGCTGGATGCAGGGTGAGAAAAGGACCTGGCCCCTGCCTTATGGGGGTCTGTTGCCTGTGCACTTGGAGCCTTCTCTGTGGATGTCATATTTGTTACAATGTATTCTCATGTACTTACTACCAAACTTAATATGATTTGAAATGGACAAACTGATCATTTTAATGTTTATTGATAAATTAGTGCTTATTGATGCAATTAATAGCTAAAACATAAAATTGGAATACTGGTTTTTCAAGCATGCATTCACTCTGAGTAGAGCTGTCTTTTAAAGTTTATTCTCACAGCCCAGCTGAAGTAAATCAGACACCTGTAGTAGATCAAAAATTCTAAAATGCTACTTTATCATAAAGTGACTCATTTTCTGTGGGTTAGATAAAATGATGTCTGTGATAACTGGAAGGATGGAGCTTGAAACATGAGACTTAGAGGTGTACACACACATACACACAAATCACTGACATCCATAACCTAGAAGATGAAGGTAGAAACTTCAAAATTGATCTCATCAATCTTCAACTCTGAAACAGCCTGTCTGTCTGTGAAACAGCCTGTACTTGGCTAGTCCTTTGTGTGTATTTCCTGACTGCAGTCAGAATCTCTATGCTCATAATTTTGACGGGATAAGTCCTGTGTTCTGACCATGATTCATCACTTTTATTTTGAAAATACTATAAATTTGAGGCAGCATGATTGTAAAAAATACTGGAAGTAAAGGCTATCAGGGGAAGCTCTGATGAGTGGCAGTGTGACAGGAGAAGACAAACTAGGATATTTTCACTCACCATTTAATAGTCATTTTCAAAGGGCCAGTTTTGTGGGACAGTTTGTCATGATTTCTGCCCCCAGGAAGTATCTGGCCCTCTTCCCTGATCACTGTCTCCAAGCTCCCACCCCATCTTCCTGCCCTCTCCATCCTCTTCTAACTCTGGCCTGATCTTGAGGGTGTTTGGTTCTTGCAGCCGCAGAGCTGAGCTGGCTCAGCCAAAGCATTCATTCACCTGCAGGCAGAAGGAGCGGCAGGAGAGCCATACTTGGCAAGTCCTGAGCATCCTCAAAGGAGGCTTCCCCTAACAAGTCTGTGGCTCTGAAAATATACAGGTGATGATATTTGAGCATCAGGTTTCTTGCTGAGAAGTGTAACCTTGAAAAGAAAACTTACACAATATTTTCTACCTAGTCTTTCACTTCTCAGGTATACCCTCTCCTGGAGGGTAGAAGGAGGCAGTGGCGTGAATGAGCCCTGAGGCCTTCTCCACTCTGTTCGTCCCTTTTCTGGCTTCCTGCCTTGGGAAGCTCAAGAAAACTGGTCTCTGGATTCTGAATGTAAGAGCTGCAGCAGCCAGAGGACAAATATTGGGTCTTTCTTCTTCCAAGAGTCTTGTTTTGAGATAAACTCCCCACACCATTTTCATGTAAATTAGTTGCAAGGGGAGGCACCTGCCTGGTTCTTCCTGGATTGTGCTGTTAGAACTGTATATAGATGCTCCAGTATCCAAAGAACTCATAGATTATTTTGCATTGATCCCCAAATTTTAGATATATCTGAAATTCAGGAAAGTCACATGGGTTCTGTGCCTTATAGCTGACAAGATATTTTAGCGCTCTTTCACAGCCACATTCTCTGCAAAACTTTTCTCCACGATATGACTAATGTCTGGATTTTTCTAAGAATTTCAATATGTTTTCAAAGCATAATATGAGATGTCATAAAATATGAATGATTTGTTTTGTATTGTCTCAGTTTTAAAATAGAACTAAAATTTCTCTCTCAAAACAACTTCTGCAACACAAAATTTTTTCTTAACATGCACTTGCTTTCCAAATTAGTTTCAGTAAATTATTGATATTTTTGGAAGTCTTTGAGAGTGATTTGATAAGATCATGATTCTGATTTTGAGGCAGTTCTCATTCTAAAGCTTGAAAATTCACAGCTTTGTCTAGATTCTCTGTGGGAAGAAGGAAAAGACTTTTAAAAGACTTAGGCTTTCAAGTCCAAATGGAGCTTCCTTGCTACCTCATTCTCAAAATATGTGCGCGCTTGCGCGTGTTCTCTCTCTCTCTCTCTCTCTCTCTCTCTCTCTCTCTCTCTCTCTCTCTCTCTCTCTGGAAAGAGAACAGAACTGGAACCACTTCTGTGATAGCTACACTGGAGCCTTAGTTGGTTTTGGATTTCCACAAGCCGATGAAGAAATGTTAATCTTAAAGAGACAAATGTAACATTTCCAGAGCTGTCTTGCTTTGGGGGTTGAGCCCATTCAACAGAAGCGCCTCAGGGTCTGTCCTGCTTGTGTTTCTATGAAATCCTAGCCTAACCCATCCCTGGAAGCTCACTTGAGTAGCAGACATTGGAACCGTAATGTTTCAGATTATTCAGGGAGTTTTGAGGTAGTGTCTGTCTTTATTTTGTCATGTTGGTCTTTACAGATGCTGTTTTTGCTCTCAGATGAGTTAACATTGTTCTGAAATTATCTGGTATATCCACTGTTAATGACAAAGTGGAGATTGTTTCCATTGCACTGGGAGAAAAGAAGAAAAAAGCTTTCTAGTGATGAATACTGGAAAAAAAAAAAAAGTGTTGGTGTCCCTCCCCAGGATAGAAGGAAAACACGAGACAGGCTTTGCCCTGGGGACAGCATGTGCTTGGCTCCTGCCTGCCATGACTTGGTGGCTGTCCTGCTCTGCCAAGCCAGGGAGACCTGGAAATATTTCTACTCTCTCTGCCTTCAGCTCAGTTCCTGTATACCAGGCGTCTGATCACTGATTAGTTCTTGTTGGCTAAAAACAAGGCAGATCACACAACTTTTTTGGCTCTATTTTGAAGTCAGTTACTTTAAAGTGACATTCACTTAGGACACTATAGGGAGGTGTCAGTAAGAGCCATTGCTTGAAAGAACTGAGCATTAGCCTTTCCAGAAGGTGTGGTTCCATTCAAATTTAGAATTCAAGGCTAAAATATTTATTTTGAATTTTCAACATAGGTGTGCACCTTTTTCTTGACTCTAGAAGGTGGTAGGCAGAGCACTGTGCTCCTCTAATGACAGTGTTTACAGGGCCCTGGCAAGTGCCTGGCACACACAGGGGCTCTATTCTAGTAAAAACCCAACTGTGTGGAGTCCAGTTTGATTCTGGTGCTGAGTAGCCAGAGTTAGCACAGTTCACACAAGTTAGGGAGCACAGTCCCCTATAAGACTGCCCTCCCAACACCAGCCATATTTTGGGATTTCATGAGCCACCAACACTTGTAATCAATTGTTTTCCTGCAACCCTCAGGTTTGATAATTTACTAGAAGGACTCACAGAACCCAAGAAAGCTCTAAACTTTTTTTTTTATTGTGTTTTACTACAAAAACATAAATTAGGACCAGCCAAATGAAGAGAAATGTGTAGGGTGAGGCACAAGAGGGTATGCAGAGCTTTCTGCCTTTTCCTAAGTGGTGTCAGGACCCATCCCTCTCCCAGCACATTAGTGTATTCACAGCCCAGGAAGCTCCCCTCCTGCAGTTTTTATTGGGGCTTCATTTGTAAGCATAATTAGCTAGTTAAATCAGTGGTCACGTGAATGGTGAATGAGCTAAGTCTCTAGCTTCTCTCCCCAGAGGTCAGGATGGTGCCAAATTCCAACCTTCTATTCAAATGGCTGGTTTTCCTGGTAAACAGCCCCCATCCTGAAACTATCTGGGTGCCACCATAAGCCACCTCATTAGTATAACAGACTCTCCTACCTCTCAAGAAATCCCAAGGGCTTTTAGAAGCTGCTTGCCAAAAACCTGGCACAAGAGCAGAAAATGTTTTATTATACTACAGACTCAGTAAAGGATAGCTTTCATATCCTAGAGTGTCTCCTCCATCCCCACTGTACTGAGACATTAAATAATGTCTCGGGGTCACTTTCTGCTTTGTGGATGTTTTCATGACTGGGGTATGAGTTGTGACAGTAAAGTGATGAATCTGTTTGTCATATGTGACTTACAGAAATAGGTGAGAAGTTTAGGAGGACTTAGCTTTCTGCCCTGAAGTCCCATGGACATGGGTATGTCGAAGTCCTGGGAGTGGATGCTCATACAGGGAGACCCTGTAGTGGTCTAGCCACACATCTCAGAAGCAGTCTTTAAAGTAGCTACAGGGGAAGGAGTCAAAAAAGGGGACACATCCCAACAGGGCCATTGGGATGGGCCAATGACAGCAAGTCCTGGGAAGAAGAGGCGGCTAAATCATGAATTTGGTTGTTGAGTGTTAGTCATGAATGTGGAAGAGGGAGCGTGGGTGGTGAGTGTGGGAATGTAGAGCCCAAAGCATCTGATGGTAGCGATTAGCACCTTGTAGAATGGTCCCTGGGACAAAGGATATGTGGGGGAATAAAGGACCCCAATCCAAGAGAAGTAAAAGGAGGATAGTTAGGCTTCCAATAGGGCGGAGAGGTAGAGGAAGTCTGGTTTGTGAGAGGACTGATGAGGTTCCATTTTGGTGGGACAATAATAATAGAGGATGTTGTGGAAATGAGTGACAGGGAGGGCTGCGTGATGAAGAAGACAGGCGGCATGACTTCTGAGGTACCTTCTGACTTCTGGTATGATTTTGATAAGTTCTGAGCTTAAGGATTGAGATAATTGTGTGTGGCCCACCCTGTTTATACCTTTATTTCTGTTGACACCTGTTTCTCCATACCTCATACTCATCATTTCCATCTGGTAGTATATTCTAGAAACTCAAAGGCTCCTCTTTAAAGTAGGAGA